CACATTCCCTGTTCCATTCACACTGCATTCAAACTTTTGTGTCTGACTTGTTCTGGCCAAGCGGATGTTTTAGCCTGTATGAGTGAGTTTAGCTATGTTACAGCTAAGCTACAAGCTAACACCAATCTCTATAGAACACTCCAGTGATGACATATTTTATTTTATTTTGGATTATTGTATAAAATGTATAATTGTATAATGTATATTGTATAAGTTCTGTGACTAACAAAAGTTTATGGTTCTCACACGTTTTGTTCATGATGATATTTTTCAGAAATGAACGCACCGTTTATGAATTTTGAAGCTTAAAATTAAAAAGTTAAACTTAGACTATAAACGAACTACATCACACAATCACATGACTTCCGAGTCTCCCCCATTAAGCTCAAGTCTTTCAGTCTTTATTTGAAAACATTTTCCAAGTTTGATTTGGCAAGAGCACCATTATAAAACAACAAAGCTGTGAAAGCAGACTAGCATGATGTTTAATGTCCCAGACAATCTCTGCATTCCCATTTAGACAATTGTTAGCAACTGCATTTTCAAAACAAGTAAAACCTTTACAAATCACAAGGTATTAGTGACGTATTTTATGTTGCTAATGCTACTTAAGTAGATTGTTTCAAATCAGGCATTGCTTCTAATAGAAGGATTCTGGCTGCCTATGTAGACAATTATAGATGGCAAAGACGCTCACTGTATGACACTATTGGTGTGTATTAAATGTGTAAGTACGCAAGTTGCATGTAGTGTGTGTCCAAGCCTTCTTTATACTCGCGCTTCTATGAACAGGTTGTGTTTTTTTTTACTGTCGGTGGGTGGTCTTGGTGAGTCTGAAGCTTTTGGTCCGACACCCCTCCCCCAGCACTCAAAGAATCATGGAATTATACACTGAGCAACATTCAGAACTTAGCACTGAAGAGTGTGCAGAAAGACAAGGAAATGCCTGGTTTCCTTATTGTGTGCAGGGGATTATTGGGACTTTGTATTGCTGCTTAAGAGCCATTAGATTAAGTATAACATGAGCAACATTAGATGTGTCTTTCCCCTGGAATTCTGAACAAATATTAGCTGAGCAAATATTGTTTCAGTTTTGGAATTTGCCCCATTCAGAGTCAAACAGTATCATTCTATGAAGTGCCAAAAGTGATGTCTGGCCTAGGAAAATTGACATCTCCGCCCTTTTTCAAATATAAAAAATGTACAAACGATTTTGTAAGCAAATTGCGCAGTTGTGCTTGGTCTGTATAACTAATTGTTTCAATGTTATTTTGTGGGTTTTAGTGAAAATGGCCAGTCCTCTGCAACAAAAAAGGATATTATCAAAATGACTAAATCTGGTCAATTGACTTGGAATATTGCTTGTTTTCTGAATTTGAGCGATCACAATGTCCACAGAATTACTGCAAAGCACCGTGAGACCATGCAGAATGTAAGGCACTGGGCAGGTCGTAAAAGACTAGCGGAAGTTTTCACAAGAGATTGAAAATCACCACACTGGTTGTACGCTTCAAAATAACAAATTTCTGATTACTCTAATAACTTATTAAAAGAATTACTTTACACCATGTAAAACTAATCCCGTCCGAATAGGGCTTTACACTGCAAGGCTAGCATGGAGGATCAGTTTAAAGATCGAATTATGATCCTAAACTCCACATGCACTATGCTACAGTGGTGCAAGTGCACTTGATCTCTGCATCAGAGCTGTACTGTATTAGGACTTAGTGTCAGGCATTTAGAATGGCCAGTGCTGATTGGCTAATAACAGGTTGTAATCTCTTTACTTGTTCTGAAAGGCACAGTGTTTAGCTGGCCAAACGTACACTGGGATTTCCACAGGACCATAAAACATTTCCATATTAAAGTTTGGGAATTTTCTTTTTCCCCCATGATGCCATAAACTCATCTCTGTCATATATGACCTTTTAAGAGACATCAGTCTCAAGTAATCAGTCTTATTTCAAACCTGTTGTGTAACAGGATTAACACTATGCCTGTTTGTGCTGGCTTTAAAAAGTTGCTGTGCAAGTATATGCTACTTTTTTACACAGACTATAGTATAAACAACAACAGTACAGAAACTGTACTGTAATCTTACTGGACTTTAAATTTACAGTAAAAAAACATATTTCATTAACTGATATAATGTTATTATACCAACCTACTGAAGTACTAAGATGCATTTTGTACCTTTGTAATACACTGACAACCACCATAAAATAAGTGTAAGAGCCACAGTGGTCAGCTTTTCTAATAATCTAATCTAAGCTGATAAATACTTATATGGTGCACAAAATGTGTTCATCAGACAGGAAATGGAAGGCCCAGTCGAACACATTGCATTGTGGGATATAGTGTTCTATGCAGTACGTCCTGTATGCTGCAAATTTGAGCATGATATTGTGTACTGTAGAGTATGCATACTGTATGCTGCAGAAATAGTGAGAAAATATGGTAGTACTCTGCAGTCTCCTGAGCATTGTGGATATGTAATATGTGTATCTCAAGTTAAAATGATGTTGGTAATATAAAAGTTCTCAAATGAACATTGTATTAATTGTACACTAGGTGTGTTTTATGAACCATCATTTATAGGGTTTTACACAAAAGGTCTTCATATTAAAGATTAATTTAATGTTATTTACAATACCAAAAGTCACATGAGGCAAAACAGTTATTTTTCTCTCATTACATATGATTTATTCTCTTTTTTTAAATATATATTTCATGTTTATATGATTTTTATATTTATGCCGGTTTATGTATGTGCGTTTGTTTCTGTAACACACATGACTGTGTTTTTTTATAATCCTCTACCTATTTATTGGGGCTGCCATTCTTTATTGATCTCATAATTTTATTATCTCAAATCTGATTTCAAATGTTGAATTTGATGAATTTTGAATATATATATATAAAAATTCACTGTACAATAAAGTTTATTCTAATAAGAGTTTGTCTTGATTTTAATGACAAAAATACGAAGTCGTCTGCAGTGGGTTTAGTATTATTTTCGCTACAGTCCTGTCTGTGTGAAATCTCCAGCACAGAGAAACACCAACCATCCAAATCCAGCCTATTTCAAACTTCATAAACTTTGAGGCCGATTAAAGAGAAGCTTGTTTCTGCCACAGAATAAACATAACAAAGTTAATTTCGACTTTGTATCTCGCAATGCAAACTTTACAATTAGCAAAATGATGGGAAATAAAGATATAAACTCTCAATTTGGACCTTTTTCTTACAATTTCAAGTTTATATCTTGCAATTCTGAGTTTATTTCTCAGCATTGCGAGTTTATTAGACCTCACAATTGCGAGAAATAAAGATATAAACATTACAATTTTGATCTTTATTTCTCGCAATTGTGAGATATAAACTTGCAATTGTGAGTTATAGTAAACTAAGTAACTTAACTAAGTCTGAATTGAGAGAATTTGTTTTTCTCTGAATTCCAAGTTTATATCTTAGAATTCAGACTTTATAAGCTGCAATTGCGAGAAATAACGATATAAACATTTCTTTCTTTTTTTGCCACAATTGTGAGTTTATATCCCAGTTCTGACATTCTTGCAATTGTGAGATATACAGTCGTTGTCATTATTGGGACCCTTGGTAAGTATGATCAAAGAAGAAAATAAATGTGAATTGTTTATCCTTTTGATCTTTCATTAAAAAAAAACTTTCATCGAAGAAAAACCAATGAATGTGTGTGTGTGTGTGTGTGTGTGTGTGTTGGTATTTAATTATACACCACAATTAATTAAATCTAATTGGCCACAATTATTGGAACCCCTTGAATTTCTGAATCTCTGAAGAATATTACCATTAATATTTACATTTTTTAGCACACCAGGGTGACTAGGAATATGAAATTGTCTAGCTATGACTTCTTGTTTCACAGGAGTATAAATAAGGTCACACAAATCACAAATTCCCTTTTTGGCAGCAAACCCACCAGGCAGATGGGTTTAGTGCACTTTGGGATAAAAAGGTACCCCTTGCCCATGGTTAAATATACTGCTGTATCTTTAATGTTATGGACCTATTTTTCTGCCAGAGGTTCTGGACATCTTGTTCAGATATCACAGATTCTATCAAATAAACCAACAGATTAAAAAAAATAATAATAATTGACAGCCTGCTAGAAATCTTATAATGGGCTGTGGTTGTATACCAGTACAATGATCCCAAACAAACATCAAAATCAACAAAAAAAAAGGATCACTGAGCACAAAATTAAGGCTCTGCCATGGCCAGTCCCCTGACCTGAACCCTATAACTGAAGAGGAAAGTGTATCAACATGGACTGGATGAATGGTGAACACTTGTCAGGTGTTCTTCAAACTCATCAGGCATTACAGGAGAAAACTCAAAGCTGTTATCTTGGCAGAAGGAGGTTGCAAAACGTATTGAATAAAAGGTTGTGGCCAATGTGTATTAGAGAAAAACATTTATTTCATAATGAGACCCCCCCACACACACACACACACACACAATTTTAAATTGTTTTACTTTAATGAAAGGTTAGTTAGATTCTTTTATTTTATTATTTTTGATAAAAGGTCAAAAGGATTAACATTGCAGATTTATTTTCACAGGCTTCTTTGTTTCATATTTATATTCATATCATATTTCATATTCAGAATTGTGAGATAAAAAGTTATTGTTATCTTATTTATTTTTATTCCGTGACAGAAACAAGCTTCCAAAAAATTCTGCCTTAGCAAAGTCATAATTCGTAAAGGTCTACCAACTCATGCTAAAATGTCATTAAATAGCATTCATATCATGAAATGTAATGATGTTAATATTAATAATAATTATATTTAACAATTTGGCACACTATTTTGGCAGCCCTAATATTTTTATTTTACTATTATTAGTTTTCTGACTTCATTATGCCATAATTTAATTTGTTTATGATATGTCCGTTTTTGATTTTGTGTTATGTTTTGCCCTGTGTGTGTGATGAGCTGTTGAACATATCTTTTTAGGGAACCTCCTAAAGAAGACACAAAGCCTCAACCAGCTCAGTGAGTACAAGCAAATTCTTTCTTTGAGCTTTCAGTCTTCCTTCTTCGCCCTTTGCTGTCTATGATACATCCCTCAGAGCTGACCTGTGATCAGTTATTTGGCTTTATGATGTTCTGTAGTTGAAAACTCAGGACTAGTCCTTGTAGGGCCCTTTTCCCCATTTGATTTACTGAAACTGTTCATACTTTCTCATCCTACTAACCTTTGGGTTGTGCGTTTAATGGCAAATCTGTGTTGCTGTTAGTGACCCATATGTAGCCTACATGTAGTTGGTCAGTTTCTCCTCCACCGTGCTCCAGTATACAGAACTACTGTCCTCTTATGATTCAAACTCACCTGCTTTCATATTGTGGCTTCTTTCTCCACCCTTAGTTCTAATGCTGCCGTTTCTCTGATCACTGATCTATTGCTTTACACTCTTGTTTTCCAGTAAATAAAAACATCAGTTTAGAAGTGTTCACTTGGTAATCACTTGAGAAGTAAAACTGAAACTTTTTTTAAGAGACCATATCTTTAAGAACGTTTTTTTAAAGTCTTAACCCATTACCAAATAGTTTTTTTATAATGCATTAGGAAGTTATTTTTTTCTTTTTACAATGTAATGACTTTTTAATTTCCACGACATGCACTACTGTAAAAAGAATTTGGGGCCTGTCAGATTTTTTAAATGGTTTTGAAAAGGCTTTTGTGTTCACCAAGGCTTTGTTTATTTGATCAAAAATACATTAAAAACAGTATTGTCATATATTCTTACAATTTAGAATAAGTTTTTTCTATTTGAATATATTTTACGATGTAATTTATTATTGTGAAGCAAAGCTGAATTTTCAGCATCATTACTCCAGTCTTCAGTCACATGATCCTTCAGAAATCATTCTAATATGCTGATGCTGCTCAAGAAACATTTCTTGTTTCTTATTTTCAGGATACTTTAATGCATATAAAGTTCAAAAGAACAGCATTTATTTAAAATAGAATGTCTATATAAATGTGTGTGTGTATATATATATATATACACTCACCGGCCACTTTATTAGGTACCCCATGCTAGTAACGGGTTGGACCCCCTTTTGCCTTCAGAACTGCCTCAATTCTTCGTGGCATAGATTCAACAAGGTGCTGGAAGCATTCCTCAGGGAGTTTGGTCCATATTGACATGATGGCATCACACAGTTGCCGCAGATTTGTCGGCTGCACATCCATGATGCGAATCTCCCGTTCCACCACATCCCAAAGATGCTCTATTGGGTTGAGATCTGGTGACTGTGGAGGCCATTTTAGTACAGTGAACTCATTGTCATGTTCAAGAAACCAATTTGAAATGATTAGAGCTTTGTGACATGGTGGAAGTAGCCATCAGATGATGGGTACATGGTGGCCATAAAGGGATGGACATGGTCAGAAACAATGCTCAGGTAGGCCGTGGCATTTAAACGATGCCCAAATGGCACTAAGGGGCCTAAAGTGTGCCAGGAAAACATCCCCCACACCATTACACCACCACCACCAGCCTGCACAGTGGTAACAAGGCATGATGGTTCCATGTTCTCATTCTGTTTACGCCAAATTCTGACTCTAACATCTGAATGTCTCAACAGAAATCGAGACTCATTAGACCAGGCAACATTTTTCCAGTCTTCAATTGTTCAATTTTGGTGAGCTCTTGCAAATTGTAGCCTCTTTTTCCTATTTGTAGTGGAGATGAGTGGTAGCCGGTGGAGTCTTCTGCTGTTGTAGCCCATCCGCCTCAAGGTTGTGCGTGTTGTGGCTTCACAAATGCTTTGCTGCATACCTCGGTTGTAACGAGTGGTTATTTCAGTCACTGTTGCCCTTCTATCAGCTCGAACCAGTCTGGCCATTCTCCTCTGACCTCTGGCATCAACAAGGCATTTCCGCCCACAGAACTGCCGCTCACTGGATGTTTTTTCTTTTTCGGACCATTCTCTGTAAACCCTAGAGATGGTTGTGCGTGAAAATCCCAGTAGATTAGCAGTTTCTGAAATACTCAGACCAGCCCTTCTGGCACCAACAATCATGCCACGTTCAAAGTCACTCAAATCACCTTTCTTCCCCATACTGATGCTCGGTTTGAACTGCAGGAGATTGTCTTGACCATGTCTACATGCCTAAATGCACTGAGTTGCCACCATGTGATTGGCTGCTTAGAAATTAAGTGTTAACGAGCAGTTGGACAGGTGTACCTAATAAAGTGGCCGGTGAGTGTATATGTGTGTGTGTGTGTTATATTTATTTATTTGTTTAAATATATACGTATATATATATATATATATATACATAACCCTTACTGACCCCAAAGGACTTACTGACTGATTAACTTTTTTCCCCCAATATTTACAATTCTTTTGTACATTCCATTGAGTGTACAATTTGCCAATATTGTGAGAATATAGCATTCTCAAATCACAGATTTGTGGCCTGACTCTTATTGTACGATCATTTACAAATCATGAGCTATTGCTGGGGATCTCAAAGGGATAGTCCATCCAAAAACAAAACTCTGCCATCATTTACTCACTATCATGTCACTCTAAACCCGCTTGACTCTCTTCTGTGGAACACAAAAGGAGATATTAGTTAGAATGTCTAAGCTGAAAAGCTGCTAAACATCTCCTTTTGTGTTCAGGTTTGCAGTGACATGAAGGTGAGTAAATGATGATTTTTCATTTCATTTTTTTGGTGAACTATTTCTTTAAACACAGAAAGAAACTTAAATTATTCACACAAACATTTGCGATTAAAGCAGCATTCAATTAAATGTTTTGGGATTCCTTGGAGTAGTCCCACAAGGTGAATGCGATTTCACTAAGTAAAACATCCTTGATGATCCTGGAACAACATTCGAATCAAACAATCAGATTTGAAAAATAGGTTTACAGTTAATGTCAAGTTTAGGCTTATAGCAGTGGTTCTACACCATTATTCTTATTCACATTTTAGGGATAAGTTATGGGTAGGGTTTAGCCTGACTTCGTCATACTCTTATTCTAGTCAGAATGTGAGTCTGATACTGCTCCATAGGGCTTTGATTATGAGGCGTGTCTTAACCGAACCAGGAAAAACAAACAAACTCTGCACTCAATTGGATAGACCTACAACCAATCAGAGCAACGCAGTAAGTCAGCTACATAGTTGCATAGCATAGTTTCAACAGAACTCAACTGCACGCACGCTGGAAGAAGTAGTAAAATAATGAGTGTTGCTTCTTTTACTTGGTCCTCCATGAGTGCGAGTGTGCAACCAAAGTAGAAACCACAACTACCACAGGGTTTTCATTGGGTCCCATCTTCTTAGCGACCATCGGAGCCAGCTGATAAATTAAACTTTAGCCGAGTCCCGTAGGAAGGACGGCAAACACATCTTTCCGATCGACAAATGCCTTGATTGCAGTTCTCTGTTCGTCTTTTAAAATTAATGCGCTGTCGATTTCTTTTACAACAGACGCAATAGCGGAATCTATACATCTCAATTCTCCAGCTGCAGTCATCTCTGAGGGAAACCAGTTCAACCCAAGCGCTCTTTGATAACGCGATGATTACGTAACTGCATATCATCTGTCCATCATCGTATAAAGCCCGCCCTGGCAATTTGATTGGCCCGACTAATTCTGAACCGATCATAATTACTCCTCAATGGATCGAGTCCAGACCGAACTTCCCGACCAAAAAAATGTTGTGGGCGGGGTTCGGGCTGGCATCCAGGCTAGGTAGGGTTAGGTTCAGATGTAAAGATAGGGTTAGCACTATGTTTTTAGATAGGAATGTTGTTCCAGGATCAACAAAAGATGTTGATCCAAGAGCATGTCTTACTTGGCATAATCATGGCGACCAGTCCTACAAAATGCAAAGTGTAAGCGGGACAGAGAGAAAACACATTTCTTTGGTTCTTGCCACTTGATGTTGCTATGCTTGTCTGAACAGGTGGAACCCTTTCAGTGGAATCACTGAGCTGGTTAGTAATGTTCTTCAGCCCCAGTCAAAGTCCCCCAGTGAGGAGGAGCCAAAGCCGTAAGTACAGTGCAGGGGCTTCAATTCATGCCGCTAAAAGTAGCTAGTTCCCTTGTCCTGTGCTAAAAATCCTTTACCTATTTGGGTGTTCCCGGGCAAAAATGACTGGGCTTTTAAAATCGCTGCAAGTAAATCTCTCATTATGCTATCACCAAATATTGGATTCAGTCTTTTTGTCAGCTTGTTTCCTTTCAATTACAGATTTATTTTTGGAACTGATTGATCGTAGGCCACATTGATCTGAGCTTATAAACCTCAGTTTGTATGTTTGTTTGAGGTGAATAAACTTGAGTGAAGTTTATTCACTCAAACTTATTCACTTTTTCACTCTTTTTTCACTTGTTTAAGGAGTTAATTGAGGCAAAAGTCATAGTTAATAGTTAGTTAATATTGAGAATTGTAATCTAATCTAAAGTGTGACCAAAGATGGAATCCAATGTTTGTTAATAACTGATTTATAAGCAATTTTTTGGTCACACTTTAGATTAGGGTCCAATTCTCACTAGTATCTAATAATTAACTACATCTTTTGCCTCAATAAACTCCTAATTACTGCTTTATTTATAGTAAGGTAGTTGTTAAGTTTAGGTGTTGGGTAAGATTAAGGGATTTAGAGTAGTGTCATGCAGAATAAGGCACTACTATGTGCTTTATAAGTACTAATAAATAGCCAATAGTAATATGCATGCTAATAAACAACTAGTTAATAGTGAGAATTGGACTCCTAACTAAAGTGTTACCCAATTTTTTGTAAGTCGGTCATTTTTGACCTGGAACACCACAAGTGTAACAAGGTGGAAAAAATCCAAAAGTGGTTATGCCTTGAGCAAAGTCAGTAAGTTTTTGTCCAATGCGAATTATGCAATAACAAGCTTTTTTAGGAAAAAGAAAATCCTCTCTGATTGGGTCTTAACTTGTATTCAGGAAAAAGAAAAATCGTTCCCTGGGTCAAAATGACTAGAACACAACGTGGTTTAATCCAAGTGGGCCAAGCAGAACTGGTGTGATGGTCTAGTCTAGTGGGTTTGACCCCCATAGTTTGTCACTACTCTAGTAAAGAAATGTTCTGGGTTCAAAAGTACTTAAATCATGTGGAAGTTACCATGTGCACAACAGTGGCGGAGCCAGGATTTTTTCATAGGGGTGGCCAGGCAAGGGCCAGCAAACAGTCTGGGGTGGCATTTAAATCTTAATTATTTTAAGATAAAAATTAGTTTAAATAATGTATTGGACTGTTTTAGTGGCTTCCAACACAACTGAATACAGTTCATTTGTACTTAATTGTAATTGAGATAGTAGCCTATTAGGAATCATAGAATACTGAGTGAATTTGATCTTTTTTATTATTATTACCACCTCCAGGCATATTAATAAAGAGTACACACACTATAGCTAAAGTTCAACTTGCTCAGTTAGCTTGGTTCTGGTTCTCAAAACCCCCAACATTGTTGCACCTTCATGGATGAGACATGCAGATAACTACTGTGGTTCGAAGATTATTTAACCTTCATTGAATTTGATATAATCAATTAACTCTTCAACTTTCTATATTAGTTGTCAAAATAAAGAATCTAAACCGTTCTATCATACCTAAATTAAAAAGGGGGGGAAACATCTCTTTTGAATCCCTATGTGCAAGAATGTGAACAAGGCGGAAGTAAACAGCACATAAATAGAATTACGAAATAGAAAGAGAATTACGTTGTTGTTTCTTTGACTGGACATATGCGACTCACTCAAAACGGTCTCGCAACCCCCCAGTTGAGGAACATCGAATAGGCTACTATGCTCCGATCACTGCTCAAGCTCATTCGGTATTTCCGCACTCGTTTGACTTGCGCCTGGCGCTGAGGTGAAGTTGGAGTGCGCGTCTGAAAAGTCTCACGTTTTTTGTGGTCTTAAAGCGACGGTTCTGTGTTTTAAAAACAAAATTCTTGTAAAAAATAAGAGCGAGACAGAAACAGCAGTTGTGAGAGGGGTGGCCAAAGGGGTGGCCAAGCTTAAGCCAAGGGTGGCCATGGCCACCCCTGGCCACCCCCTGGCTCCGCCACTGGTGCACAAACAGATAAAACCCTGCTAACAGTGTGCATATACTCAAGTTGTTTTTTGACGGACCATTTTATCAGTCTACCAAATTGTATGTCAACACAACATGTTCAATCCATTAGCCATGCGTGACCGATGACAGCGGATATTCATGTACTCTTGCGGAGAGACAATGTCAGATAGTTTCAGTGTGGACACGTTATCGATTTTCCAGGGCTCAAACTGAATATCATGATTTGTAGTGCATGTGCAGTAAAACCCGTCCCTGTCATACTTCACTGTTCCATACGACTTAAAAACAATGGAAAATACCCCCTGGATCAATATTCATTTGATGAGTAAGTGTTTTCTCTGGATAAATTATTGATTGAGTCTGTCTGCATTAGATTTGGATCTTGTCAAACTGGAACGCTCTCTTATCATCTTACAAGTCTTGTTAAAGTATTAGATGCATCCTGTCAATGTTTACTGTCTTATTTTAATATGGTTTGCCTGATGAATGTAGCATAGGTGGAATTAACCCAGAGTTTAAAGCCTATATATATAATGCAATTACTACTAAATAAAGAACTTAATAAGAGTCATGTTTACACCCCCAGTGCTCTCTTAAACCCGAAGAACCACAATAATCATGTGGCAAACTATTAAGGTTTTAAACACTAAAAAGTGATCAGTTGACTTACTTAAAAAAAGTGAGGAAACCCGTTGCCTTAAAAATAAAATTATTACGTAAATAAACTTCATGCATAATTGAAAAAATTAAGCTGTGAACTTGACAATTCCACATAACTTAATTCTTTCAATTATATATGAAGTTTATTTACTTAAAAAAGCGAGGAAACCCATTGCCTTAAAATTATTAAGTTAAGTCAACTGATCACTTTTTACAGTTGCAAAAAAAAAAATTTTTTTAATAGTTTTTAAAAAAAATTTTTTATATAGAATCTACTTGTACTTTTCATGAAATGGGTAGAAATCAGTGTTATTTTCTATTATTTGTACACAATTATAGCATTTATTAATATTTTGAATTGGTTTTCATTTTAATTTTAAATGTTAATTTTAACATTTAATATTTTAGTATTTTATAGGTGCTTTTGCAAGTTCTATAGTTTTTTTATATTTATCTTTTTATTTCAGTTTTAGTTTCATCATAAATGTATTAATTTCAGTTATTTGCCAAGGCAACATTTCTGTTTTAATCCTATATTTTTTTATTTTATTTCAGCTTTATTTCAATTAACAAACATTCTCATTCTTGTTAACAACACTTATAAAGCAATGAAACTGCAAATATCACATTTGTTGGAGAGCTATTGAGACTACAGCAGGAATGAAAATTCCAAACCAACTTCAGGATTTTATTTAAAAGAAAAAAATAAGCATAGGTGGGTGTAAGCAGATCGCACACAAAAAAAAGAAAAAAGTATGAATAAGATTCAGACAAATTTGCTAAATCTAAAATAGTTAAGTATTGCCACGAATGTTGAAAAAAAATGTGCCTCCTGAACCAGTTTTGGTATTGTTATCTATATTGAAAATGACATAAGTTAAAGGGATATATACTCCACCCAAAAATGAAAATTCTGTCATCATTTACTCACCCTCAAGTTGTTGCAAACTTGTATGAGTTTCTTTCTGCTGAACACAAAGGAAGATATTTTGAAGAACGATTGGAACCAAACAGTTGTTTGGCACCATTGACTTCCATAGTAGAAAAAAGAAAAATACTATGGAAGTCAATGGTGCCAAAGTTCCAATCGTTCTTCAAAATATCTTCCTTTGTGTTCAGCAGAAGAAAGAAACTCATACAAGTTTGCAACAACTTGAGGGTGAGTAAATGATGACAGAATTTTCATATTTGGGTGGAGTATCCCTTTAAGACATCAATGAAGTAACATCATCTTCTACAACATGATGAGAATATAAGTAATCTCAAACCATTTTTTCCCTTTTACAATTATTTACATTTTTAATATGTAAAGTTTATTGATAGAAATTTATAATTATTCTTATTTAAAAAATATAAAAAAATTTACTGAAAAGGCACCCTATTTGTGTGAGCAATTTGTTATTTTTTCTTCTTCTTTTTATTTGCAGTAACATTGCATGTTATGCTGAACATAAAAGCACTTTTTTGCTGAATTATTTTCATATTCCTGATCAGTTTTGCATAATTGTTAATTAACAGGTGACAAAGCTATCATTGCACAAACTCATTTACACGACAACAGTGTTTTGGGGGCCTGCAAATGCAAACTTTTGAAAACGGGTTTCAAAGTGCAAGTTTTTGAAAACACCTTCATCGTCTCCATGTAAACTACAAAATGTGAATTTGTAAAAAAAAAGGTAACATCGTCTACATCCAAAAAGCGTTTACATCCAAAGCACATGGCACCCTTTAGCGTCAATATGAGATGCAGATATATATGGGGCAGAAGGCGCCTCCTAGTGGTCTAACCCTAACACTATCCCAGACCTAAACCTACCCATAACCGAAGCGTGTTATATTGACGCTAAAGGGTGCCATCCGTAGACGGGCTTTGGTGCCATATGCGTTGGATGTAGACGCTTTGGCAAAAGCGTCAGTATATGACGCCTTGGGATGAGAATGCGTTGGTATTACATGTTCAGTAATAGCACGTAGTGTTTCTTTAAAGGTGACATCGCCAACTACTGGCCTGGCATGCATAATACACCATTTATAATCATTTTCATGGATCTGTGTGGACGGGGATCGTTTAGACAACGTTGTCGTCTGTATGCAAAAAAAAACAAAGGAAAAACATTTCAGTTTTTAGTACATCGTTGTCGTGTAAACGTACCCTCATACTGATCCAGGAGCAGCACTTCACACCTGACTCTCCTCCCCAAATGTAGATCAAGACAATTACAGGAAAATACTAAAATGACCCAAACCTAAATGTGCCTCTCTGCTCTCCACAGGAAGTTGCACCAGCAGTTTGAGATGTATAAGGACCAGGTGAAGAAGATCGGAGAGGAGGCTCAGAAGAATCCGGAGCAGAAGGGAGACTCGCCCATCTGTGGGATCTGCCACAAAACCAAGTTTGCCGATGGCTGCGGCCACGTCTGTTCCTATTGCCAAAATAAGTTCTGCGCACGCTGTGGAGGACGCGTCTCGCTCCGGTCCAACAAAGTACGTCTGAACCCTCTCTCACCGTAAAATCTATAGACAAGTTGTATAAAGACCCTGTCTACTGTATGTGGCCTTGTGTCTCTGTCTGTATCTTATGTTCATTTTCGACATCTTTCAGATTGTGTTTCTGGGTTTGGTGGCTTTTTACTAAACAGGAAGTTAGCTGTTTAAGGGATTAAGTCCTTAACCACTAGAGGGTGCTGAAATGTAAAAAGAAAATAAAGCCCCACAATAGAGTGTCTCCCTAACTCTTGAGGCCTAGTTGAACAAGCTCTGAGTTTCAGAGTATTAGAGTTGACAAAACCTTACAAATCCAACCTAGTTTAGATCAGGTTCAGCGGGCTCAAAACACTGAAACGTGCACCTGAAAGTGTGTCATGTGCTGCGAACAGCCAATCACAAGGAACATGGAGAGCGTCAGATTGATTAACTTGATTCACTTATTCACTCTTTTTTCACTTGTGAGGTACATAAGCTCAGAAAACAAGTTGATGACACGATTGGGTAACACTTCAGTTTAGGGTCCAATTCTCACTATTTAGTTGCTTATTATCATGCATATTTCTAGGATTTTGGCTGTTAATTAGTAGTTATAAAGCACATACTATACTACTGCCTTCTTCTGCATGACCATATTCTGACACAAGAGAGAGCTGACACAATTCACTTCTCTGATAAAGAGATGAAGAGATCGTTATGAAAAACATCCTGAATTTAAATGCATTTAAAAGGCAGAAAATAAACCCTGCTGCAGTGAGTTTAAAAAGCCAGCTAAATGAAAATATCTGACTATATGCATGTGTATCAACTGAATTTGCATACTTTATACAAGTTCACAAAGAACTAAAAAGAAAACACACAAGCTTAATCCGTTTAAAAGTTTTTTATTTTAAAGTTTGTATTTATATATTAATTTAAATGCAAAGTTTAATATTAATTGTTAATTCATATAATAATTATATGAATTATACATAATTATAATTGATATAATATAAATATAATCAATAATTAATAGTCACTTTACTTACAACTGATTGGCAACAGTTTTGGGAACTTTAACAGAATAAAACCTGCTCCGGACCAGGTTAGCTGTAGCGCAAGTTTGCTCAAACTAATCTCAAATTTACCTGAACTGAAACCGGCTTCATGCAACAGGCTTCTGGTGTGTAGTTTGTGGGGTGTTGTTTTCTAAATAGCCCTCCTCTGCTCTTAATGCCATGACCATGACAGAATATATATATATATATATATATATATATAGAGTGCTGGTCAGAATTATTTGCCCCCTTGGTAAATATGATCAAAGATGGCTGTAAAAAATAAATCTGCATTTATAATCCTTTTGATATTCGATCTAAAAAAAATGGCAAATATCTAACCTTTCATTGAAGTAAAAGAATTGAAAGTGGGGGGAAAATCACATTATGAAATAAATGTTTTTTCTCCAAAACACATTGGGAACAATTATTTGCCCCCTTTTATTAAATACTTTTTGCAACCTCCTTTTTCCAAGATAACAGCTCTGAGTTTTCTCCTATAATGCCTGATGAGTTTGGAGAACAACCGACAACAGATCAGAGACCATTCCTCCATACAGAATCTCTCCAGATCCTTCAGATTCCCAGATCCATGTTGGTGCTTCTTCTCTTCAGTTCAGCCCAGTCATTTTCTATAGGGTTCAGTTTAGGGGACTGGGATTGGGGGACTGGGACCCATTTTTGTTTTGATTTTGATGTTTGTTTTTGGATCACTGTCCTGTTGGAAGATCCAACCACTGCCCATTATAAGATTTCAAGCAGAGGTTGTCAGGTTTTGATTTTTTATCTGTTGGTATTTGATCGAATCCATGATGCCATGTATCTGAACAAGATGTCCAGGACCTCTGGCAGAAAATTAGGCCCACAACATTAAAGATACAGCAGAGTATTTCATTTTACACATGGGGTACTTCTTTATCCCTGTGTGCACCAAACCCATCTTAAGTGTTTGCTGCCCACTCATAGAAAATGAGTGGGCTGAACTGAAGAGAAGAAGCACCAACATGGATCTGGGAATCTGAAGGATCTGGAGAGATTCTGTTTGGAGGAATGGTCTCTGATCTCTTGTCGGGTGTTCTCCAAACTCATCAGGCATTATAGGAGAAAACTCAGAGCTGTTATCTTGGAAAAAGGAGGTTGCAAAAAGTATTTAATAAGAGGGGGCAAATAATTGTTCCCAATGTGTTTTGGAGAAAAACATTTATTTCATAATGTGATTTTCCCCCCACTTTCAATTCTTTTACTTCCCCCCCTCTGGTCTAAATCACTGCTTCTGCGGAATTATTTTTTAAATTAATTTAATCTCCCCCTCAACAGTAATCAATGCTATTTCATCAATAGACCATATAAAATATCTAATATAAAGATTAAAGAAATATGCAACACGCACGTTTAAACAACAATAAAATCAAAACTATTAGCGTTCCCGCTCCTGTGATGAGAGATACACATTTAAGTTTCCAGTGGCCTTAATTCGTGGCTTTTCAAAATGTCAGAAAGCGTTTTGTGATTTTGTATGAAATATTGAAATTTATAAATTAGTCTTTTGGCACACCTGGCCGAGTGGCACTACAAATTTTTTCTAAATTCGGGTTTTATTCTAGCATGTTAAATTAGTGTTCGATGAACGTGCTGGTGCATTCACTTGGATTTTTTTTTTCTCATAACAGAGAAAAGAACTTAAAATAGGCGTACTCTGTCGTTTCTGGTCATGCAAATAAGAGTAAGACATCATTCAGAACTGTAAAAGGTCTACTTTTATGTTTGTACCCTCACAATAACAACAAAACGTTATGCTTTTGTAAAATAAAGAAAACCAACCGGATGCGCTTTCTGCCGCCTCGGTCTCCGTGAACTAGAGCGCGTCACAGAAATGAACTAAAACTCTATAGGCGACTTGACCCAGTCACGATAAGAAATATGTCTATAGAAAGCTTGAGTGAACAAATATTCTCTGATTATGTAATCCATATGAAACCAACGAGAGGTACAGAGGCAATCTGCTCAAATTTGGATTTAAAAACAATTATTTGTTGACATATTCCGATATTGTTTCATTAAAGTTCATAATTAATATAAATGTTACTTTAGCAGCTGCATGAAATACCCACTGTAGTTCGTGATTAATTTTCATGAAATACAAACATCCCCCCCTCTGCTTTTTTCACAAATCTCACATTTATATACATACACACAAACACACACACACACACACACACACACACACACACACACACGTAATTGTATACACTGTTTTTTTTTACTTTCTATTCATCAAAGAATCCTAGAAACGAATCAAGGTTTCGACAAAAATATTAAGATGTAGCTACCGTTTTTTACCCCGAAACACTTCATAATAACTTTCATGTATCAACAAATCATGATAGAATATATATTACCTTAATCATTATTTAATGTAAATTAAAATGCTTACAAATGTCATTCAACTTTTTATTTATATGATCACGCACTTCTTGAAAATCTTCAAACTTCAGTTCATATACCACCTAATGCACTTTCTTTTTACATTTACAAATGCAAAAAGGTGTTTGGTAGCTATGAGTGATCTGGATGTTCAACAGAAAATTTAACAATATAAGAATGACTGGTCCCACTTTATAGGTGTCTTTACTATGTAGGTAGGTGTACAGTATGTACTATGTAGGTTAGTTTGCAGGGGTTAGTTTGATTACTTTAAGGGAACACTGTTCAAACTGTTTGTATTACATTGTTTTGATAAATGAAATATTTTCTTGAAACAATTATTTGTTTTCTCCTGTTGTATGATTCAAGGAATATCCTGTTAAAGGATATAGTATACTTAATGTTGAGGCAATAAAAAAAACATGTTTTGCACCATAACTACAATCATGTGTTATTAAGACATAACTAACCTGCGTTGTTACAGTAGCTAAACGTCCAAAGCCCATAAAGGTGTTAAATAGTTAATAGTAAACATTTAGAAACATTTGGCAATTATGAATAGATTGGGTACCTCAAAAACAGGAACAAATAATTAATAAAAGATTTGTAAAGTGTAAATAGTAGAAGTCTGCATACACCACAGCAAACAAAGACCACAAGTGTGACTTTTACAGACTGTGGTATGAGTTAATGAATAATATGTTAACAATGAATATTTTTTGTGAAATGCTTAAAATTACCAATAAGATAATTAAAGTGTGTTAGATAATTTATAAATTGAATTTTTAAGACATTTAGCGTTCAAATGTACAGCAAATGTAATACGCTTTTAATCATTGTATAATTTCTTTTAAAATCAATATTAGATTTTTAAGAAGTGCATGATCATATGAATAGAAAGTTTAATGATATTTGTAAGCATTTCAATGTACATTAAATAATGATCTATTAATCATTATGTAATGTTTAGTAAGTTCAATAGTAAACATTAACAAACACATTATCTCATAGTTCTATGTGAATATATATATATATATATATATATATATATATTAATAACTAATGATCTGTTAAGCATATCATGTTTGTTAATGATTTATTAATGAAAGTTACTATGTCATCACATGAATACATTTCATATAAATAAATGTAGCCTTAGTGAGCATAAGAGACTTCTTTCAAAAACATAAAATAATAATAATAATAATAATTCAACACTTTTTACCACACTGAAAAAAAGAAGATTTTTGCTGCTTGTTAAAATTACTTAATTAAAATGAGTTAAAGCAACACAATTGCTATACATTTAGTCCTAACTTAATTTAATTGTGTTCAATCCACTTAAATATATTTAAAATTGAATTTAACTTAATCCATTTGTGTTGGGTTTACATGAGTCATTTTCTGTTAACAGAAATTGGGTGGATGATTTTTCCCAGCATCCTTTGCATATGGCTGGATCAGGAGAGTAATGTTAAAAAGTTGAAGTTTTTGTGGTTGCTGGAGATTAGAGCAGACAGTCTTTTAATGGTACAACAT